CGAGTCGGACGCGGGCGACCGACCCGGAGCCTAATCGTCGCCCTAGACTAGCGCCGCGCCGCCGAGCCCCGCCAGGAGCGGGAGCGCGGCCCCGACCGCGGCGACGTAGGCCGCGAGCCCCGCGGCGATGGCCATCGGGAGCGCCGGCACGGAGTCGCCGCCGCTCCGGTGCGACCAGACGACGTTCGCGACGTTGCCCAGCAGGACGCCGGCGGCCGTCGCGGCCGCGGGCGCGGCGCCGCGCATCGCGGCGCGGCCGGCGACGACGCCGTAGAAGAGGAAGTCGCCCGTGCCTGCGGCCGCGGGCGTCGCCGAGGCGCCGCGCGCCGGCGCGCGGGGCGGTCGCTCGTCCGACCGTCGCGCGCGACGGCCGGGGCGCGCGGAGCGCTCCGCGCGGGGCGCGCGCCGAGGTTGAAGCCGCTGGGCGTCTCGTAGATGAGCCCCGGCGGGAAGCCGTGGGGCTCGGACATCCAGATGCGCTCCTGGCGCCGGTCGAGGACGAGGCGGAAGGGCCCGCACGGCGCCTGCACGGCCTGGGGGCGACGCGGGTCGGCTGCGCCGCCGCGGCGGCGACCGCGCGACGCGCGACCGCGCGGCCCGGTCCCTCGGGCGACGGCGCGCGCGCCCCCCCGGTCGCCGGCGCCGCCGCGCGCGAAGAGGTCCCAGACGACCTACGGGGCGCGTCGGTGGCGATCGACGACCGCCTCCCCGACGTCGCTCGACGCTCGTCGCTTCGGGGCGCCGCCGGCGACGAGCGCGCCGAGCGTCGCCCAGAGGCTCCGCTCGTCGAGGCAGAGGAAGGGCCAGGCGAGCGCCGCGCAGACGACGACGAGCGCCGGGTGCGCGAGGGCCTCGGGCGCGCCGTGCTCCGGCGCCTGCGCGGCGGGCCGGGGTCGCGCGCGCCGCGCGCCGTCGCGGCGCGGGCCGCGCGCGAAGACGACGGCCCACGCGCAGCCGCCGCCGGCCTGCGCCGCGGCCGCGGCCGCGGTCGGCCAGTCGAGCGCGCCCCGCGCGCACCAGA